TGAATTGTTCACCACAAAACGATCAATTTAGGCAAACAAAGAAAGTATGGTCAATTTTGAATTCATGGGGACTTTAAACATGAGAATCAATTTAAATGCTACAATGAATGATCCACACTACAAAATGGAAATGCAGAATGTTTATGCTTATTGTTGACAAAACACAAATCACATATTCGAAACGGGAATGGCCTTAAATTAGAAATGATTCAAGGATTATTTTGCATAGATGTTGCATTACAATCAAATACCAATGCAATACTTCTGTGTCCAGAGGCAAATAAGCAAATTATATAAGCATCAAAGATTGGTTTCAGCAACTTGTTTTTGGACTAATCTGTTTCAATTGTTCACTCATGAAGACAGTCACTTGTCGCCACCTACTGGCTTAATGATGCAAGTTGCGCAAACACTCCCAATGCTGATACTGGTGAAATATAACATATTCAAGGACAAATACAAATATTAATATTTATACAATACTACTATTATGGCATTATAATTAATAGGTGCCTGTGTTGTTAAATTGAGCTTATATTTTCCAAAGAACATTTATATGTGTTAAATAGGAATACATTGTAATAATGTTAATCTCATGGGCACAGTATGCAATACCTGCTCTTCCTCTCTCATCTCCATCACATTCTCTATTTCATCTTCTCGCAGTCTCCTAATATTTAGCTGTGTATATCTTATCTTCCCAAAGCTGAGCTTTGATTGATACAGTCTTTGCAAACTGATTGTTTCTGTTACTCGTTTAATACTTTTATCGTAAACAGTTGTTTGGTTTAGCTACTTACATCTCGATTTTATATTTCCATTTATATTTAGACTTTTCCTTCCAAAATGTTTGTTTGTAGCGGCAAGAAAACGTATTTGTTGTCTACAACATAGAGTAACATCGTTAAATGTCACTCACAAACATTACTAGGCAACCAGTGGTGGGAACGCCCTCAAGCGAACTAACCGCCAGCCACTGGCGACCTGCAGCGACAAAGTCGCTGGTAGTGTGAACGCAGCTTTAGAGTGCAGAGAGGAATGTGCTTTTGCTCCACTCCAGGCTTTGATCACATCCCCCTCAGCAGGGTGAACACACCTCATCTTTCCTTGATTTAAGACCTATTCAAACTGAAATTAATATGTAAGCATATTTACGGCCTTAAAATTATGAGGACAGGCGGGAACCCTGCAATTGATGGAAATCCGTCGTAGACACGCTGCAATTAACGGAAATCCGCCGCAGCGACGGATAACTTTAATCCCTGAATATAAAAACCATGCTGTATCTTTAAATCGGCCCATTTAAAAATGATCCTTTATTGTAACTTAGCTGCAGAAATGGCTTGTTCTGCACTTTTGAAACTTGGTGACATCACAAGTTTCTTAGGTAAAGCAGGGGAAAGAAATTAACCGTTTACAGCCAGAGAGATGATGGAAAAGGTTACAATAAAATATTATAAGAAACAAAATATTACTAACATTATAACTGGACCTCAGAAGAGGGACAATAAAAACAATAAATGACCCCTTCAGGCAACTTACTGGCTGGCGTTTTCTTTTTTCTCTGTGTCTCTGCAGCATGGTTCTTAGTTCCTTCTCACCCAGCTCAGGCTTGTCTACATGGAAAATCAGCTTTAGTTTCTTATAACTTCATTTCTGGGGAGCTTTAAAACGGCTTTAACTGACCTCTGGTTTTCATGTCCTGAGTAGAAAGGCTGGGTAGGACCCTGAGAGAGACGGTTGCAGTTGGGGAGGAGGGCGACGGAGGAACAGGCAACCAAAAGGCTGTATCTGTTTACAGGAACATAAAACCATCATATTAAATCATCATTACATGAACACACAATGGTGCTGAAAAAGTTCACACACTGCATCACACCCACCATCTTCATCAGATGACACATTACTGTCCCCACACTCTGTTTTCACATCCTTCAGTATGTGAGCCACTCGACGTCTCACCCTCTGCTCCAGCATCTCCTTATGAGAAGGGACAGGGTACCGCCGTTTTACCGCAAGCTCGGGTCCACTACGGACAGCCAAATCCAGCAAATCCTACATTACAAGAGAAAAACACATTTGTACGTTGCATAGAGTTACAGCAGAGGTTGCACCAACCATTCGATTTCTTCCGCAACTACCTGTCAGGTCTGTGTCGACCAGTCGAGGATCACATGACTTCAGTTGTGCTAGTTTTCTATATGGTGCAAGTACAAATCTAGCATTGAACTTTCAAGAAACAGCAAGGATACTGCATTGTTTACACTACCGTTCAAAAGTTTGGGGTACTATTTTTCATTGTTTTAAAGAAAAAGTCTTTTGTGCTCACCAACGCTGCTTTTATTTGATCAAAAATACAGTAAAACAGCAATATTGTGAAATATTAATACAATTTAAAATAACTGTTTTATATATTAATATATTTTAAAATATAATTTATTCCTGTCATAGAAAAGGTGATTTATTAAGCAGTCATTACCCCGGTCTTCAGTGTCACATGATCCTTCAGAAATCATTCTAATATTCTGATTTGATGCTCAAGAAACATTTCAGACTAATAACAATGTTGAAAACAGTTGTGCTGCTTAATATACAGAGGAAAAACTTTCAAGCTAACAGCATGTATTTGAAATAGAAATCTTTTGTAACATTATAAATGTCTTTACTGTCACTTTTGATCAATTTAATGCATCCCTGTTAAATAAAAGTATTAATTTCCTTAAAAAAAAAAAAAAATCACTGACTTCAAACTTTTGAATGGCAGTGTATATGGTGAGATAAACATTGATCATGTAACAGACACTAAATTAGCTCTTCTGTGACTGTACCTTTCTGGAGACCAGGATCTGCTTGAGTAATTTGTGGTAGTACTGTTGAAGGGAGTAGATGTGCCTTTTTTTCTGTGGTTTGGCACAAAGTTGTCTGTACTTGACAACCTCTGGGTTAAAGTAACCATCTACGGAGAGATAAACAAACTAATATGCATGAAGTTTTATTTTATAAATAAAAATACTAGGATTGAAAATAAAAGGGAAGGAGGATAACCTCTGAAGAGCTTCTGGGCAATGTGCAAGGGGTTTCCGAAAAAGAAATTCTGGTCGTTGAAAAGGTCGCTGATGATGCTGTTCTGCTCGGAGTTGTTATTCTCGGAGAACTGAGGCAGGAGTTGACGAAGATGTGTCCGTTGAGCATCTGAGAGAACATCTGTCCATGTGCTCTCACTCATCACTGAAAAGAAAATCTCTGGCTGCTCTCACATAGACACACATGCCCACAAGATAAAGAGATGGTTACTCTCATGTTTTCAAAATTGCATGAAAATGGTGGAACTATCACTGAAACGTTGGCTGATAACTCACATCCTCCAGCAAATCTTCAGGAACCCGAACTCTACAGTTTCCCAACATGCACTCTTCCATCACACGACCATCCTGGTCCAATCCAGACTCCAGTGGGTCTGTTAACATGTGATCCAATGCATCCATCTTTACCTAGCCCTTCACAGCAGCAAAAACGGTATCTGCAGGTTTACAAAATGAGACATTATGAACAGTCTCAATACCTGCAAACTCTAAAGACATCTGAAATGCAATATTTTTTTGTATGTATTAATTAACTCACCATTTTATTTATTCTAATTAAATTTCTACATTTCACACGACTGTATTAACGTTATATACAATTTGTGGTAATAAGATAAATGACAACAAAATCATATTGATCACCCTGCACCCTGTCAAGGTACTTTACCATGTTAGCTTGTGTATTACAAAACTATAATTTCCCGTGAAGTTTTATTGACAGCTTGTACGATGTATCTATGACACATGTAAGTTAATCATTACACTATCTTGATGTTGCTAATTCTGCTAACGTTACTAGCTAATACAACAAGCTAATAGCCCTTGTCAGACTTTACATCTATTATGGTGTAATAAACAAAACGTATCGTTTTAATTGATCTATTTATGTATATCAGGGAAATTTTTAAGGCATCTTACCATGAGTGTTGGTGGAAATTAGGAATGTATATGTTAGCTTGCTCTTCACAAGGGCGGTAGGAATAATAACATTGGTGCACATTTCCGGTCTGTCGTCTAAACTTCCGTTCATCTGCTAAAGGTTTTTAAATATGAATTTTACAGTCTATGGGTGGAAAACACACACACACACGGAAAAAATCCACATATTCCTGCATAAATAAAAATATAAAAAATTAAATGTGCACACCAATATACACAATTAAATGTACACACCAATCGCTCGCGTGCGCGTGTGTGCAATGCGAAAATGTTAAAGGTAATGCAAAATTAAGATTTTTAATTTTTATATCCTTATTTTTTTCTTTATGTTGCACTGCACCTAGCGGCAAAGATGCAGCATCATGTAGGCTACTAGCACACATTTTCAGCCAAATTTCTTCCCATTTAAAATTTTATATATATAATAGATCTATAATATATTGGGTAAACAAGTGGACAAAGCTCAGCTTTTGACAGCTGTCTGAAGAAGATTAAACAAAAATTAAATGAAAAAACGTCATAGATTAAGCACTTGTTCAACCATCCACATTATTTGCATATGATTCATTCAGCTTTACATATAATTTCACAACATTTAACCGAAAAAATAAGATAAGGTATTCACTGATCATTATAACCTCTTCTTCTGTCTTTATTTTTTGTTAACCTTGTTACATTTGCTATATTTAAAACGTATTTGATGCAATTGTAATATTTTTCTAAACGTCTTTCTTTAAATGTAACACCAAGTCCTGAATTCACAACATGAAAAATAAGCAGATTAGAATTTCACTTTTAATTTTTATCAAAGAACCTACTAAAGCATCAAGGCACATTATGGGAACGCCAATCCCCCAAGGGGGGGCATTAACAAAAATAAAAATATGACATTATAACAAAATATTACAGATACACACAACAGTAAAACAAAGGTCATTATGTAAATAAAACTGCAAAAAAAAAAATGTAAAAAGAATAAATGAATACTCTAAAATTGTTTCCTATTATTTAGCCATAAAAAACATTTGGGCACAGATCTGATTATCAAGATTCTTTGGTATGAAAGGAGATTATAAAGCTATAATGTAATACAAACAAAAACAAAGCACAGCCCATTGACATGTTACGCCATCAATTACACAAAAATCCCTGAGAAGCACTCAAGTTTTAATGACTTAGCAAGGCAGCAAGAATACTTTTCCTCCACAGAAAGAGAAACGCAGTTCATTTGAGCTAAAAAACAGCATAGTCCATATAGACAAAACTCATTTAAGAGTGTAAACACATTCAGATACACAAAGATAGATTTGTGACTATGAGAGCTCCTTATTATGAAAAAACGAAACAAATCTTCATCAAAGAAAACTTTCCTGTGCACATCATGTGGGCTGATTATAAGAATCTTTATGGCTCCGGAAACATGACTTGACGAATATGAATGCCTTCAATTTTCCTCAATAACTTTCAATACAGGTTGTTAGGCTTTAGTCCATTTCGTGTCACCGTTGTGACACTAAACCCCTGTCATCTGCTTGATCCAGCTGCGGTATTCTGTGACCCGTGTATAGACACCAGGCCTGTTCTTGCGACCGCAGCCATCTCCCCAACTCACCACTCCAGCAAGGAACATGCGCCCATTGCTCTCAGTGGAAGTCATTGGCCCACCTGAGTCACCCTGGCAGGGAAAAGAGAAATATTTTGTACAATATTGAGAAACAAGTTTATGACATGCATCTGAATGTGAAAAAAACAATCAAAAATGTTAATTTTACCTGACAGGCATCTACACCTCCACTCAATACACCTGCACAGATCATGCGTGGTGTTGTCCCTTCATCCATCAGCTTGCTGCACACAGTGCTGTTAATAATGCGCACCTCTGCCTTCTGCAACACTGATGCAACATCATCTAGAGCAGGGAGAAGACATTTTCTTAGCTTACTAACTCATTTTTACATCATAATAACTCTTATTACATCATAATTTGTACTCAATGACATTCAGTATGTAAGTACGTTCTCTCATTATGTGGTTTGGACAAATACATAGCAACACTACCAGTTTGACCAGTTTTGTTTTAGAGTTTAGACACACTTGACTAAATTTGTGTTAGGCAATAGATAAATGTGCAAAAACAACAACAACAAAACGTCCAGTCTGGCAGTCGTGTCAGACTAATGATTTTGGTTCAAATGCACTTCTAAGATTCAGCTATGATTCACTTATTTGCTCTGTAAAATAAAACCATTTTATATGTTGATTTATTTATTGTTATTTTCAGACAACTGATATGACTGGATTTTCAGTTCCTAACAAGTGTATGATTTTTTTTTTTTTTTTGCCATTAATTTTTTAATAGAACTTCAATGAAAAAATTTTTTTTTAATGCTTGAAAATAATTCTGTAGTATAAAGTATTAAGTATAAATCTGTGTCTATATCTTTTTTTTGTAGTATAAAAATACTGTGAGGGATCTAAAATAAGAGATATAAGAAATAAGTGGGATCTAATACTCCCACACATCCATTTGTGTCATTCCATAGTTCTTTAGTTTAAAAATGGCATTCAAAAAGTTAATTTTAGAATAAAGCAGGACAGAATTAAGCATGACATTACTGTACCTGTCCTGGAAAAATGAATACTTTAAAATTGTTTCCGGTCACACTTTAGAATAATAGTTCGTCATAAATAGATAACTAAGTGCGAAGTAATGCAGGACAAATGAGTTGTACTACATTAACACCATCATGGAAGATTAACTAATCAGTAAGTAATAGCAAATTTAGGACTGAGAAAGTTTTAGATAATCAATAATTACTGAAGGAGTTTAGCTTCATTAAGAACCATTAACTATGACAGATTATAAAGAATTTCCAATTAATTACCAATCACAACATTAACATCTGAGTCCTTCAACTGTGATGCATCAATAATAACTCAAGTGTTCCATAGTCACTCTGCAGGAACTACTAGTGATAACATGTTTAATAATAGTCCAAATCACAAGTAGTTGTACAAGTAGCTACAATGTAATACAAATAACTATTAGACTAATAGTTTTCCATATTTCTGATGCCCTATTATTATTAAATTTAGCAAATATTAATAATAAACAACAGTCTAAACTTTTGGTTATGAACACTACCGTTTAAACGTTTGGTGTTGAAAGATTTTTTTTCTTCAATCAATACTTTTATTGATCGAGGAAGCATTAAACTAATCAAAAGTGTTGTTACAAAGGTTTCAATTCAAAGTAAATACTGTCCTTTTTTAACTTTCTATTCATAAAAGAATCCTGAAAAAAATCACTTTATCACAGTTTCCACAAAAATATTAAATATTAGTGTTTTCAACATTGATAATAATAAGATATGTTTGTTGAGCAACAAATCAGCATATTAGAATAATTTCTGAAGGATCATGTGACACTAAATCAAGCTTTGCCTTTACAGAAATATATATAAATAGAAAACGTCTTGGTTACATATGTAACCCTCGTTCCCTGAGTAGGGAACAGAGACGTTACGTCGAATGACGACGAAATGGGGGTTTCGCTTAGAAGCCTATCACCTTCGAGTATTAAAAATGAGCCAATGGCAAACAAATGCCATGGGTCTGCGGAATTTGCATAGCGTAGCTCCGCCTCACCTCGTGAGTATATAAGGAAGAACGCTGGCAGAATGCAGACATGTTTCCCTGCCGAGGAGCCAAGACTGAACTCGACGTTTCAGCGGAACAGCGAAGGTGGCAGGAAGACATAACGTCTCCGATCCCTACTCAGGGAACGAGGGTTACATACGTAACCGAGACGTTTCCTTTCGTAGTCACTTCGAGTTACGTCGAATGGCGACGAAATGGGGGTACCACCTCTCGGCTGTCTTCCAGTGCCCTGCGTAAGTGTGAGCTCCCTGTCGTGAGACTGGCACGGACTAAGGACTCCAACTTAACAAAGGAATACCAAGGTACACTGGGAAGCAAATCTCAGTAGAGATAAGCAACCATGCCCGCCCGAAGGGAGGTCTTAGGAATACACGTATGACCCGAGAGGGGGTAGCATACGGAAGAACACTGGAGTGTCCAGCCCGTAGGGTGGAATCTTTCAACTCCAGGAGTGGCAAGGTGGCTTGCCGAGGGAAAGACACATGCTCAAGGAGGCTTACAGTGGAAATACACGTGGGGGTCACCCAGCGGGGGAACCATGCACATGGAGGCACCTAGCCAACTGCGAAAGCTGCCGGGGGCATAACCTTGGCGTTGACGTCAACAGTGCGGGAGGAACTCAGGGCTTCTCTGGGAAACTCACCTGAGGAGAATATTACACGTATCCAGTCCGTGGAGTGGAATGGCGAGCAAGCAAAGACACCTGAGCGGATCCTAGTTACTGACTAGTTGAAGTGAGTACACGAAAGGACACTGGCTCCACTCAGAGATTATAGAATCTCGTGAATGTGTTAGGTGTCGCCCAGCCTGTAGCTCTGCAGATGTCTGTTAGCGATGCGCCATGCGCTAAAGCCCAAGAGGAAGCCACACTCCGGGTGGTCGCCCTTGCTGCTGATATGCCAAAGCAATGGTGTCCACTATCCAGTGAGACAACCTCTACTTGGTGAGAGCCTTCCGTCAGCTTCCCACCATGACAGACAAAGAGCTGGTCTGAGGATCTGAAACACTGCGTCCTGTCTACGTAGGCACGGAGAGCGCGTACTGGACAGAGCAGTGCCAAGGCTGGGTCTGGCTCCTCCGAGGGCAGCGCTTGCAGGTTCACCACCTGGTCCCGAAAGGAAGTGGTAGGAACCTTGGGCACATATCCAGCCCGGGGTCTCAGCATCAAGTGAGAGTTAGCCGGCCCGAATTCCAGGCACGCTTTGTCAAAGGAAAATGCCTGCAGGTCCCCTACTCTCTTGATGGAGGCCAATGCAACCAGGAGCGCTGACTTCATTGACAGGAACTTAAGCTCCACTGATTGCAAGGGCTCAAAGGGAACACTCCGCAAGGCAGTTAAAACCACTGAGAGGTCCCAAGAGGGTACGAGAGGAGGACGAGGAGGATTCAGTCTCCTCGCTCCTCTCAGGAACCTGATGACCAGGTCATGCTTCCCAATGGACTTACCCTCAACTGCAACATGAGGTGCGGCGATAGTGACTACAGAAACTTTCAGGGTGGAGGGAGACAGCCTTCGCTCCAACCCCTCTTGCAGGAAGGAAAGCACGACACTGATCGGGCATATCGTGGGGTCTTCTCGGTGAGAAGAGCACCAGTTGACGAAGAGGTTTCACTTCAACGCATAGGCATGTCTCGTGGACGATGCTCTAGTGGAAGTTATGGTAGCTACCATCGCTGGTGGTAGGGAAGTCAAACCTACCTCGTCCCATCCAGGAGCCACACGTGGACGTTCCAAAGATCAGGATGAGGGTGGTAAGCTCGTAAGCTGCGCGGACATGGCGACCGAGTTGATTTCCATACCGAGAAAAGAGATCCTCTGCACGGGGCAAAGTTTGCTCTTCTCCCAGTTGACCCCAAGGCCCAGACGAGCTAGCTGCAAGAGCACTAGGTCCCTGTGTTCGCAAACCTGGTCTCGAGAGTGAGCTAGGATTAGCCAGTCGTCAAGATGGTTCAGGACGCGAACCCCGTGTCGCCGAAGCGGCACAAGGGCTGCCTCGACGACCTTCGTGAAGACACAAGGAGACAGGGCTAGCCCGAAGGGGAGAACCACGTACTGATATGCCTTTCCCTCGAAAGCAAACCGAAGAAACGGTCTGTGTCGAGCAAGAATAGAGACATGAAAGTAGGCGTCCTTCAGGCTGTAAACCAATCCTGTAGCTGAACACATTCGAAAATGCGTTTGGCCGTGAGCATTTTGAACGGAAGCCTGTGAAGGGATCGGTTCAAAACACGCAGGTCCAGGATTGGCCGTAACCCACCGGATTTCTTCGGTACAATGAAGTAGGGGCTGTAGAACCTGAACTTCATTTCGGCTGGAGGGACAATCTCGACCGCACCTTTCGCCAACAAGGTTGCGACTTCCGCACGCATGACAGGGGCATTGCCACCGACCATAGTGTAGCGGACTCCCCGAAAGCGGGGAGGAGATCGTGCGAACTGAATCGCATGGCCGAGCCTGATGGTCCTGGCGACCCAGCGGGACAGGTTGGGAAGCTGAAGCCAGGTTCCCAAAAACTAGGGATGGCCCGATACCGATACTGGCATCGGGGATCGGGCCGATACTGTCCTAATATACTCGTACTCGTACTCATAAAAATTCGCCGATACCACGCACCGATACCACGTACATTTTGCAAAACGAAACTGGCCGCCGCGAGTGCTTTGTCGAGGTGAACTGAGGCATAGGAAAGTATAATGTCGGCGGTTTGGGCTCATTTCAAGATAAGGGATGATGACAACAGCAAGGCAGACTGTGAGTTATGTTCAGCTAAGGTGTCGAGAGGAGGGAAAGAAAGTACATCGTTTAACACCAGCAATCTAATTAAACATCTGAAGACGCATCATAGATCTGATGGCCGAGCGCACGCGCGGGCGGTAATGCACTCACTCTGTGTGTGCGGGTTACGGGAGAATAAAATGATTCGCGGGACTCCCGCAAACTAGAAATATCTATGAATAAAACATAAAAACTAAAAGATTTTTATTCATCTCTTGCAGAAAAGCAACAAGAACAACTACAACAAAATAGAAACGATTTACAGGACAGAGTTTCTATTCATAACATGGTTACAGCGTTGAGCGATGTAGCCAATCACAGAAATATGTGTTGATTTCTGGAACGCAATGGCCAATCAGAAGCATTTAAGATAGACTCCCCTCACCGCTCAAAACGGACTTTTTTGTTCAGTGCTGAATTCTGTATGCTGGCAAATCCTCTAATTATAACAAACAAAGTGTGGATATTATGAAAGATTGATTGTGCAGTCAGCTTCATTGATAATAACAGAGATGTGTGAGATCGCGATGAACTGTCAGCTTTTAGGATTTATTAAGGGATTTATATTCAGTCATGCCAGACCATGCACGCATAGCCTGCTTGCTTTTATGTTAAATTAACAGTGGTTTGTGTGTTAATACATTTATTATTTTACTAATTTTTATTTATTTTTAGACTTGTTAAAACAAGCAGAGAAGAAAATAAAAACAGTCTTCTAACCTGTGTTCTAAAATAGTCGTCTTCTTTTCTGGGAGCCTATTACTTTTGCGGTAGAAATATCGGTATCGGTACTCGGTATCGGCAAGTACACAAATGTAAATACTCGTACTCGTATCGGTTTGAAAAAAAATGGTATCGGGCCATCCCTACCAAAAACTGTACCAGCGGGGTCATGGGGACCACAAACGTACCCTCGGTGAGACAGCGAGGCGGTATGACTGGCTCAGACTGGGGAGGCATAGCGTCCCGGTGTGGGAGCACAGTCATAGACCGCGTCCTGACAGAGGAGACCAGGGAAGGACGTGCGTTCCACTGGGGTCTCATCTGACAGGGGTCTGGCGATAGAGGGGGACGCGAGTGGAGAGGCTTATAAGCGCTGTCATCAGAGAACTCTGTGATCAAGGGGAACGAGAGTGGTGAGGCCCGTAAGCGGCACACACTGTCATCCGCGCACTCTGGGGGCTCAGAGATGGGAGTGTTAGTTCTGTCCTTAGCCACATAGGGGTGCCGCTGACTGGCCGGCCAGCGGCAAGAACAAGAGTTTCTCCCTTCTCCCCCGGCCCTCCACCAGGGGAAGGAGTGGCCATGCTACCACCTCCTTGGCAGAACTGTAGGCTATCTCTGAGCTGTCCGCGTCAGGAAGGGGACTGGGGTGCCTTCCTGCGACCACCTCACCGGCGAGGCCCGGTAAAGGCTACTTCTGGGGCCGAACGGGAGGGATGGAAGTCGCAGGGGGGCGCCCTCGAACAGACTGAGTGAACTGTGCTGGCGGCTGGGTGGAGGCAGCAGCTGGCCGCCGGGACAGTATATGCTTAATAACCTCAGTCTGTCTCTGGGCAGCCAAAAACTTTTGGGGCGAAGTCCTCGACCGTGCCGTCGAAAAGGCCTGCCTGGGAAATAGGGGAGTCGAGGAAACGTGTCCGCTCAGCATCCCGCATATCGGCCAGGTTAAGCCACAGGTGTCTTTCCTGGACCGCAGCTGTGGACATCACCTGACCAAGGGAGCGTGCAGTCACCTTCGTCGCTCGGAGAGCAAGGTCGGTGGCGGCGCGCAGCTCATCAAAGAGCTCTTGGTCAGCTCTCCCCTCGTGCATGTCCTTGAGCATCCTGGCCTGGTAGACCTGGAGGATGGCCAAGGCATGCAGTGAGGCGGCGGCCTGCCCCACAGCTCTGTAGGAACTCGCCACCAAGGTAGACGAAAACCTACCGACTTTGGAGGGTACTTTGGGTCACCACGCCACATCGAAGCACTCTGTGGACACAGTTGCATTGCAACAGAGCGTTCGACAGGGGGAACCCCAGTGTACCCTTTCACCGCGGCCTCATCAAGGGCAGAGAAGGCGGAGGAGGTTGTGACCTCCTCATGCACTTCCGGGAAGAAAGGAACTGGGGGGTGCGCCGACGAGAGTCCCCCAAGAACCAATCATCCAACCGCGAGTGTTCAGGAGAGGGTGGAGAGTACCACGCAAACCCGACACTCGCAGCGGCCCGGGAAAGCATAGCTGCTAGTTCCGGGTCGGACTTGGACAATGCCGCGACCCCGGGGAGGCGGCAGCACATCCGAATCCTTATCCACAGAAAATACCAGCTCGCCTTGTGATGCGGCGATCGACATCGATTCATCATCTAGAGCACCAAATGAGACACAAGGCACATCCGAAGACGGCCCTGTGGCTGCACTCGAGGTGCTCGCGGGTTGCTGCACTGGTGAGGGGGGTGTGGCCCGAGGATGCATCGTCGGGGCAGTGTTCCACACCATAACCCTCAGATCACCTTGACCAACAGCCAAAGTGTCGCCTCTCGTGGAGGGGACAGATCGGGGTGTGGCAGAGGGGACTCTACCTTTAATAAGGTCACGGAGTCTCGATCTTAGCGCAGCGATGGTCATGTTACCGCAGTGAGAACATGACTCATCCATGAAAGCTGCCTTTGCGTGTTCTGAGCCCAAACACACAAGACAACAAAAAGGACGCTCAGTAGCCTGTGCTGAAGCGGCCAGGGAGAAACACACCCGCTGGATGCAGACCACTGCACAGATCAGCAGGCAGGAATGTGAAACTTGCTGGAAATCGCCTTTGGACCAACACAGACTGGAGAGCTGCTACTCTCAAAGGATACTCGATGACACTCAGAGAGAATTCAGACTGTAGGAGTGAAGAGGACCTCTTGGCTCCGAAGCAAAAACATGTCTGCATTCTGCCAGCGTTCTTCCGTATATACCCACGAGGTGGGGCGGAGCTACGCTATGCAATTTCCGCAGACCCATGGCATTTCTTTGCCATTGGCTCGTTTGTAATACTAGAAGGTGATAGACTTCTAAGCGAAACCCCCATTTCGTCGTCATTCGACATAACTCGAAGTGACTACGAAAGGGAACTGTTATTTTAAACTATAATAATATTAAATTGTAATACTGTATATTTGATCAAATAAGTCCAGCCTTGGTGAGCATAAGAGACTTCTTTCAAAAACATAAAAAAAATATGAATCAAATATGAACTCAAACTTTTGAACAGATTATAGGTTGTTACACGACTTACCAACTTCTTCTCTTGTCTTGCCCCAGCCAGTGATCCATACAGATTTGCCTGCTGGGAAGTCATGTGTGGCTTCAGGTAAGCAGACAGGCCAGATGTTCTGGCTTAGAGTCACAGGGCTGTCCAACTCCATTAGAGCGATGTCATTGTCGTAGCTCAGGGGATCATACTGAGGGTGAGAAATTATGCGCTTCAAACTTTTTAGGGTTGACTTATTAGTCTCACCCTGGTTAAGTAGGCCTAGATAGACTTCCCACTGGTCAGGCTGCGAATACCTAGCAAAAGAACAAACAATCAGTCAGGATCAGTGCAGGAGAGATGGAGAGGACCAAACAAGATTAGAACTCACTTGAACTTTTCACTGTCCTGCACGCAGTGAGCAGCAGTGACAAGCCAGCGGTTACTGATAACAGACGCCCCGCACACATGACCTTGTCTCTTCATGTGGAGGCTGACCTGCCAGGGCCATTCTCCATCATTCGAGTCCTTTCCACCCACAATACGACTGGACTTGTAGGGCTTTGTCCCGCATTCTACAGTGAATCAGCAAATTGAACAGATATAAATGCACATAATATTAATGGCAAGGTTATTTTTGTTGTAGGGAATATTAAAGGAGCATTTCACCCGTGGGAACATTCATCTTTATTGAAAGTGGATCATATATGTAGACGAAATATAATAACATTTTCGAATTTGGTGCCTTCTTGACCGAGTAAAGACAGAAAGTAACTTTAGGGCGCATTTGTACTGAAAACCACAACTCCCACAATGCACCACATTGCACAGCTCCGCAAGCCACTCCCACTAATCCAGAACAATGCTGAGGAGGTATCCGCCTATCAGATTCAGAGAAAGCACTCTACTGTCTACCGTCATCATTATTGAATTACTCCTCGTTTCTATTTATGTTGAATGTTCAGTCCGAACATTGTAATGCAATTTGGATTTGCAAAATAAGAATAAAAATATGTAGGCATGACCATTATTTTGTTATCTATTATCATGTAAGGTAACAGTAGGTTAGTAACATTAATTCCACTGATCGAATGTTGGTCGTCCAAATTTATCTAACATACACGTGGAATAAAACACTAATAAGGAAAACAACGTAAATGTGAACCATTTATTTCAATAATGATATCAACAAAAATAATTATGATAACAATAAAAGTTCAACAATACAATAGTATCAACAATAGTTCCTCCTGAGCTTCCTCAACTTACTGGTGCCCGCAGTAATGTTACTGGCAATCTGGAGCTGGATATTTCAGTCGGATTGCCGACACGAGCGGGTAGAACGCGAGACCGTGACCTGCCTGTCACGGACGAGGAGCCCGCACTGGCTCGAGTTGAGGCGGACTGGTCATGTCGTTCTACCCGCTCGCGTCGGCAATCCGACACTTCGCTGTATTGCGGCTCGTAAAGATAGCCACGAACATCGGATTTGAGCAGAAGACTTTTAAAATCATCTTTTCTTGCATATCATGTTTATTTCCTTCCATCATTGTCGTAACTTCCTATCTGGCTCCACAGCGCTTGTTAGCTTAGCTTCCAAACAAGATGGTGGATATTGCTATTAGGTTCGGCAAGTAAAGTCCCACCCACTGATCTGTAATAGGTCTGTAGCGTGAGTGGGCCCCTCCCCCTGAATAAATGATGAGCTACTGTTTGTAGTCTCTACACTTTTCAATGAAATGTGACTTCCTGCTTATTATGACGCAAAATTACGATTTTTACGTCATAATAAGCAGGAAGTAAAACACTTAAATCCTTATTTCTCCCATCTCAGGGAAAAATAAAGGAACAATCCACGAATATTATAATTTATGACTTGGTTTCTAACAATACAAAGCTTAATGCAAATGGGTGAAGTGTCCCTTTAAGAACTATTAACATTGTTACTATTATTATTCAAAACAATTATCTATCATAAATTTACCATCGCATGAAAAATGGTGGTGATGGTTTTAAACATACAGTATCAGAAATACATAAAAGAGGTCTTAACCTTCCAACAATTAAAATAGTCAATTTTGATATACTATAATCTTTTGAATTGATATTCAATTCATTTTATACAAAATATAGAAAATAATAAATATAATAAACATGTCAGAGTTGAAAACTGTTGTGCTGCTTCATACAGTATTTTTGTGGAAACGGAGATACTTTTTTTCAGGATTCTTTGATGAACAGAAATCTTTTGTAACATTATAAAAGTCTTCAATGTCACTTTTGTGAACAACAAATCCCTCATGATTTCTCAGAGGAAAGAAAGAATAATTTTGAACTTACTACACTCTGCTTCATCCGAACCGTCCGTACAGTCAGTTTCTCCATCACACATAGGGTTCAGCTTGCTAATGCATTGGTTATTCTTGCACTTATAAGAGTGATCAGAGCAGCGAATAGCTATGGCTAGATATAAAAGAGAAGTAATTAAATCCAATAGTGTGACTGCTTATGTTGACAGCATGTAGAGTCAACCTCCAAGGTAAATTGTGCTGCTAATAAGAAACTAATTGTGAAATCATACGTAAGCAATAGAGGTATACATACATAATAATATCATTAATATATGCACTTTTTAATATAGAAATAAACAGGTCAAATTGAGGCCAAAAACAGAAAAGATGACAGGGCAAGTGTGCCACAAACATCCTGAAAACTGAAGCCAAAGCATTTTAATCGCCCCCTAATGGCTGTCTGCAGTCTAGGTCATAAACCCCACCCTCTCCATGTAATCGAAAAAATCTTTTACAATTACATTTCAAATTTGTTTTTTCCCAAAGATGGTTTCTGTCATTTTAAGTAGTTCTTATCACGCTGAGGTATGCTCAAGTGTTCGCTTTACAAAAAAAAATTGGTTTTAGTTATAAAGTTATAATATTTTAGTTATAAGTCTAACGTCATGATTGACAGCTGTGCTGGGGCAGGACTATGGGCGGGACCTTGATACCTAGGTACTGCGCAGACTGACGAATGACATAATCAGCGCAACATGTCAACGACTATTTCTTCAACTACAGTGGCTTCATTTTTCTACAGTGCAAGGAAGTGGAGACACGTCATCCATCTTTTTTACAGTCTATGCGACAACAGGCAAAGACATTGGCATTATTGAATGAATGTTCTTACATTTCTCACACTGAGATTCATCTGAGCCATCTCCACAGTCGTTGTAGCCATTACACTCCTTATGAGTTGAAATGCAGAGGCCATTTCGACATCTGAACTCTTGAGCTTTACAATTCCCTGCAGATAAAATCGAAAAACAACCTGAAATCATCTCCATTACTCTTGCTCCGTAGTTCATGACTTTGAGAGCTGGTTTCATCCTTACCACAGTTTTCCTCATCAGTGTTATCTCCGCAATCATTCACCCCATCACAGAGCCAGAAACTGGGTTTGCAGAAGCCGTTCTTGCATTTGATTTGAGTCACATTACAGTCTGCATGCATGGGTAAAGAAAGTAGTGTAAAATCCCAAATGACACATTATTATAGTATTTCAAGAGCTTCTCTTTGTGAAAACAACTATAGAAAGACTGAGTACAAGTGGAATAAACTTACTGCAGCCCCTCTCATCACTCATATCTCCACAGTCATTGTAGCCATCACACTGTAGGTTAGTAGACACACACAGATCATTGTCACACTGGAACCTCCCAGGACAGGCTGTGGAAAGGTGATTGAGATATTTTTGTCATGATGGACTGGCTTAGAACATTGCGCTTTAAAATCAGCAGAAAACAATATGATTCTACTCACGATTAGTGGGTTCAAAGGCCTCAAACTCTGCAGAAAAGCCCTCGCTCACGTAGGACATGTCAGAATGAAATTTGACTGTTGCTTGGTTTGATTTGATAGTGTACACTGTTTTAGGTGGCTTCTCTCCACATATTCTTAAAAACAAAATGGAAAATAATAAAGTGTGCATTAACATTTAAAATTTTGGGGTCGGTAAGATTTGTTATTATTTTTGAAAGAAGGCTCTTATTATACCCAGCAAGACTTCATTTATTTGATCAAAAATACAGTAAAAACGTAATGTTGTGGAGTATCATTACAATTTAAAATAATTAAATATATTTTAAAATGTAATTCATTCCTGTGATGATAACGCTGAATTTTCAGCATCATTACTCTAGTCTTCAGTGTCACATGATCCTTCAGAAATCATTCTAATATGCTGATTTGCTGCTCAAGAAACATTTCTTATTATTAATGTTGAAAACAGTTGTGCTGCTTAGTAAATTTATGAAAACCATGATACTTTTTTTCAGAATTATTTGATGAATAAAAAAGTTCGAAATAACTGCATTTATATTATAGAAATATAATATAATATAATAGAAATAGAAATCTTCTGTTACATTATACATGTCCTTACTGTCACCTTGATCAATTTAATGTATCCTTGCTGAATGAAAGTATTCATTTATTTAAAAAGAAATTGTACTGAGCCCAAACTTTTGAGTAGTAGTGCATAAATGATCTACTTCTATATATGTTATAGTTAGTAACATCTAATCAGGTAAATGATGATTATTTTGAAGCAACAGATCTGTGTAAATAATGCCTTTACAATGAAGACTTTTGTCTTACCTGTAATTTAACTCCAAGTAGTCTGTGCGACAGCTGATGGTGTCCTTTTCAGTGCTATGTATAGATAACTTGTCAAACTTTATCTTGATATGCTTTCCTGGTGGAACCTGTGAGACAGAAGATCATTTAAGAACAATATTGTGAGGCACTAATGTAAGAAACAGACCAATGATGAAGGAAAATGTAAGTGACATTGAGAACAATCTATTTTACCTCAATGTTCCAGACACAGTCAATCTGAGGTGGGTAATGGGAGGGATAGCCAGGTGATGTGAAGGTACCCCGAAGCCCTGTTAGTCTCCCTCCGCAGTCTAAAGAATGTGACAAGTCATTTATTTCACACAAATATTGGCCTTAGATTTGCTTGATTTAACACACAAGCACAGGATCTGGGGATAATGCTGTCATTTACTCACCATCATGTCGTTCCAAACCTGTATGACTTTCTTTCTTCTGTGGAACACAAAAGAAGATATTTTGTGTGTGTGTGTTTTTTTTCTCACAGAAGTCATACAGGTTTGGAATGGCATGAGGGTGAGTAAATGATGACTAAATTTTCATTTTTGGGTGAACTATTCCTTTAACATTTTCCAAAACATCTGGCTTTGGCAGGCCACTCGCAAGCAGGGGAGCATTAACGCACAATAATGACTGGACAACTTTATATAACGTCATACAGGCCGAATTTAGTTTGAACAATAGTGTATGTAATGTTCCTCACATTAAACCACCAAAACTAATATATTAGGAACAAAATCAAAATCTGTTTACATTTTTGCGACAGAGTTTTACTGACAGCGCATATGGATGATGTTGCAAGTGACAATGATCTGAATTATACTATTCTCATAATGAAAAATGTATTTTTTTAAATAATGCAGTTTCATGGCAGACAAGAAATATTTATATCCAGTAAATTTGCCATTGGCAAATGTGTCAAAAAAGGGAATTCTGGACCCTACACAGGAGTTTATATATCATTAAACTCTACCTTGAATTTTGGCTGGAATCTGAGAGTAAAATGCCCTGAAACCTGGGAAGTTTTTCTCTTCATTTGTAACCAGTGTAACCAGCATGACATTCCCAGAGGAGATGAAAATGAGCTTCTCATTTGGTAAGCGATATCCACATTTCCTGCATGAACACGGTTGTTAGATTCCACATATCACAAAGACAATGAAAACAAACAGGCATGTGTTACGTGACACTGTTCACACATGCGGTACTGTGTCATGGAGAGAATGACTGAAAACTTACGAACACTTACTCCGTTATGACTTGCTTCTCTGATGGTGCTAATGAGTCATACACTTTGACGAAATCATTACGACAGTCTTTCTCCAGGTCTAGGACGTCAAACTCTAGTCTGATCCTGTGCTCTGGGTCGGCCCGAATCTGCCACTCGCTGTAAAGGTTGGGAGAGTAGGAGGAATCAGGAAAACCTGGAGACCGGATAATGTCTGTCTGGTTCTCATGGGCATGATGAGACCTCTTAGTGGACCCTGAAAGACAGGACAAGTTCAATACCAGTCTGAGATATGAACACATAAATAGATAAATGTAAGGAACGTATCTTTTACTCACGTTTGAGGTTTTTGCCAGCTAACCGAGCATCCACAGCTGTAATACACACCAAAATATATATGAATTTTGACTGTAAACAATTAAGACCCAATAGTGCTAGACTAAAATGAGACCCATATTTCTCTAAAGTGTCTGTAGAGAGGAGACAGACTGAAACTATGTGGGTAATATGATACCTCTTCCAGTAGATTTACCTCCTGATGTCATGCCATCAATGGTGAGGCTATTGTCAGTCCTGCGACCAAAACCACTCCGGCTTTTCCGTACATTTTCCACTCCATCCATGGATGCAATGGCCTCGTCCACAGCAGATAATTTGGACGCCCGCACATTAAACTCAGACAGGTAATATGCGATGATACCGTTATTACTGCCCTCACTATAGGGGAAGAAAAATGTATGAAACTTATGTAGTGGCAATTTTAATGATATTCATTGATCTTTAGTAAAATATAGATGATTCAAAGAATGTCACATGTGTGTCTCTCACTTGTAGTGAGAGAAGATTCTGTTTATGTACCTAGGGAGGCAGAAGGGGGAGACACTCCAGAGAACAGACGAACAAGGACCTCTGACCTAGATGTCAGAAGGCCATTTAGTGCAGGGGAGCTTAGTGGGCCAACTAGTGACGTCTATGGAAAACTACTGGGAGGAAGGCTCTTGGGGGGAAGAAAGCCTTGAAACTAAGATAAAAGCTAGTTCAGTCTGTCTGGGGGTGTGTCACTCTTCTGCACAGGGTAACAACTGTGTATTAGACTGCTCCTATTCTTGCAAGAATAAATACTTCTATTTTATATAATTTGACTATGAGTGTCTCTTACGCAGTGATGTTTGTTTGAGATGAATTTTTGCCACAACAGTTTTGGTGTCAGAAGTGATATTCCTTGGACGTGCCTCCTGGACCTGAGATCGGACAGTGTTTGGCCACCTGGACTAAGTAAGTTCCAGCTCTACCTCGTAAACTTGAGAGAGAGGGGCCGACCGATATCAGGGCCTGGAGAATCGACCACTGGAATCTAAAGAACCCTCAAGTGGCATGAAACAACGTCTCTGGTAAGGGTCATTTAAATTCGGTTTAATTGGGAGAAGAGTGAAATTGAACCATATTGGCTGAAGGCTGTTTCTGTGGTACGTAATCTGAGATTAATTGAGATCTATATAGATCAAGAAATTTCAAACAGATACGAGGGAAAAATCTGAGATTAATTGAGGTCTGTAACAGAACAAGAAATTTCAAGCAGATAAATAATCTGGGATTAAGTGAGAACTGTAACAGATCAAGAGATTTCAAACAGATAGGTACCCTGAAAATTAGTTGTTCCACGACGGAGCAAATTGTTTTTAGGTACTGAGGCTAATTAGGGGGAACCAGAATTTTTTTGGTAAACCATAATTAGGAGGGCACTAATAGTGCAACCCGACCGATTTGGGTTAAAAGAAAAGAGTCGGATTTGTTAGGGACGCCTAACAGATTAAAGAAAACGCGCGTTGAAGAGAAATCCACAGGGAACAGAAAACAGCCAGTATGGGAAAATCTCAGAGTAAGCATGCCAAATTTGATACACCGGTTTTCTGTAGAACTAGGAAAGTATGGGGGGAAATGTATGTTTTAGATATTGAAAAAACTGAGAAAATACCATGATTTTCCCAGGGAGGGAACACTGACCACAAATAGACTAAGAGTGTGCGAGAATCAGTGGAACAGGGCAGCGGGACAAAAGGTTGTTGTGGCTGCGTTCAACATGTGTGTAAAAAATGTGAACAGATAATGGATTATTGGCTTGAAGATAAAAATGTCGAACTGCCAGGAGAAATAATGTTTTTACTTCTTCATCCAGTAAATGGATGCATGACATTAGATGTCTATAGAACTTAAATTTATATGACAAGGATTGAAGTAGCAAGAAGCAATAAGGCTGTCTGTGTGAAATAGAGGGAACTGTAAGTGAGACTTGGTGGAAGAGGGAAGTGAAAAAAAAACAAAAGGTTGTTGTGGCTGCGTTCAACATGTGTGTGTGGGGATTGTGCAAATAATCATGTACTGGTTAGATAATGAAGGAACTGGCATGTTTAAGAAAAAAAATGAGAGGATAATGAAGGAACTGGCATGTAGGGAAAAGAAAGGAGAATATAGTAGAAAACTATATGTGATGAAAATAGACATGGTCTGACAGAATTTATGGAAGTCAAATTAACTGTTTAAATGATATGAAAAGTTTTAGAATAAAATAAGGCATTGTATGATTGACAGGGATTAACATGATATGAAGAATGTTTTAAGCAGAATGGGGAACAATTCTAGATTTTGATAAAATAATGATTGAAATGATGATATATCTGCTTTATTTTATTAATGTTAAGAAAATAAGGGTATTGAAGCAAGTAGCTATAATGGTTGTCTGTGTAATTTACGGACTGAGTAATATAATCTGTTTTGGAGAAACAGTAGAGATAAGACTGAGACAATAATGATAATATTAAGTTGAATCTGCAGACTAACCATGTGATGGAAGAAAAAAGGCTTCAAACCAGTTGTAATGAAAATGATGATGTACAAATTGTTACACTTTATGAAGAGTAACGGAACAGTCCGGGAAAATAAATAAATAAATAAATAGTGAGACAGAAGAGAGCAAATGCTGTAAACAGCTCTGCTCTGAAGATCTCACTTTGAAGAGATTTGCAGATGATGTTTTGTAAAAGATAAGCTGGGATAACAGCAACAGTGCTTGCTTATTCGCCCGGTTTCCGGATGTTAGACATGTACTTGTAATTAGTGTTGTTGATGATAATACCAAATTAGTAAGGTAAAGACAGAAAACAAATTCGAATATTTTGAGCATTTTCTGTGCTGCTCATGAAATTATGTTCTGCCAATAATAATGATGAAGAGTATGATTTGGCTATTGTGATTGAATCCGCCATTGGTGGATGGTCAAAGGAATACAGAGAACTGCTTATCAGTGGGTCTGTTTACATTCCTGAATGGGACACACACTGCTTCAAGGGTGTGCAGTTAGTTGGAGCCGTTTGGAAGCTCACAGTGATCAAACTGCAAGGTGTCTGATGCTGTAGTTGAGGCTGACACACGAACCAACCAGATGACAGAGAGTGTCTTGATTGTGGTCAGCAGGACCATTTAACACGTGACACATTTCTGATAATAATGTGGGTTTTGAAAGTAGATCAGTGTTTAAATGACGACATTAACATTTTTCGTCTGAGAAATAAGAGATAAAAACAAGGTCAAAAGATTGGAGTCTTAAAGTGAATCCTTTTGAAGAAAAAATCTATAATAGTAATTTTTATAAGTGAATTGAATACAGGTTGATGCAAAATGAATGACTGCAACAAATGTGAGTTGCAAAATACAGTAAAGGTAACTAGAAGGATGATTGTGTTTTAATTAAACATTTTTAAAAGGGTTCAGGTAATATAGAGAGACAGATCTCAAAGATGATTTACCATAACTGCAAAGGATGGAGACTGATAAACTCCTAGAAAAAAAACTTTTGAAGTCAGATATTAAGTTATGGTAATTGAGAACTTGACAATTAAAATTGAGATTGAGAAATGTGAAACGTTATTGAGAACTAGAATAATTATTTTTATGTAAGAACAAATAAGCAGAAGCAGTAGGCTACTGAATTAACAGTTGCTAAATGTAAAATGTGTTGAAAGGCATCTGATTTAACAAACAGCTTGAAAAGTTGACCATGAAAGAACTAGAAGCTGATGTTTTGCTTCCAAAAGATAAGTTTGTTATGGGCTGTAATGAAACAGTTCGCTTATCTAAAATCTGATGTGTGCTGTGCCTGAAACTGCCAGTGCGACAGAGACTCAATCTGAGAGGAAATTTGTAATGTCTAAATTCCCTGAGGTGGGCAAAAGACAAATATAAATAATATGTTTATTTGAAACCGTATGTAATTTCTGGCAAAGATGCCTTAAGCTGGGATAGAGTTAAAAGATGATAGATAAAAGTTTGATGTTAGAAGTATATGAGAGAGCAGTGTACCATCCAATAGAGTCTCAGAGTCTCTCTCATTCAATGAGTCAGCTAAAAGCTGGTATCTGTGATAATAAGTAAAGCACAGTGTTTCAGTTGAAGGATCAAAGACACAGAGATATTTTAAAAATAAAACTGAATGACTTTAAAGAAGTATTTAAAATAATAATACAGATAGAGATGACATTTTGATTAGCTTATTTTAGGACCAGTAACTTCTTTGTCTCATTTAGTCTCCACCATTCAGGACCGATGGCTCCGGCTACAGATGAAGTACACTGAATGTACGGTTGTGATCTAAATTCACTGAGTATAATCTAAGCAGCTAGGTTTCTGCTTTTAAGATGGTTAATGGATTTAAGTGATTAAATACTGTTGTTATTGACCTGTCTCCCTGTGTGAACACTCTTAGGCAGTCGGAATGGCTCTGGTTACTCTTGAACGTGCTTTTCCTAAGCTCCAGAAAACAGCTGAGTTCTGTTGAAGAGAACTGATTGTGTGATGGGAAAGAGCGGTCACCAGTGTGTACAGTGGCTACTCAATGACGGGATGATCTTCCTGGCCAGGGGACAGCCTAACGCAGGGGGTCACGAACATTGGGCACCTCCGGATGGAGGTGTTATATGTAAGAAAGGTATGAGAGTTGAGCGCTGATTACTGGAGGCCACCGGGGTCAGCAGAGCATTGAGAGGTGAGATGCGCTGTGAGGAACAGTTACGGCAGTCTAACCCAGAAAATGTGAGTTCCTCCATACCACTCGCCAGAAGAAACCGCATTCATTGTATGGCTTGTTTTTTATTGTGACAAGCGTCTGCAAATATGCCAGGGGAAAACACCCTGATGGAGATTATAGATAAAGGGCTAACAGGAGTGGGCGAGCAGGAGCCAGCTGAGGCCATTGAGTGATTCCCATTAGTTGTTGTGGAGACAGTAGCAAAACTTTTTTATGTACTGGTTGCCTTATGGGCAAGGAAAATCATAGTGTTGATTTTGAACTAATAGGTCTATGACATAGTTTTAACTCTTGAAGGTCGTTAGACATGGTGGTGGCTAAAGATGAAGACAGCTTTTGATTTAAGGAAAGTCTGGATGACAAAGGTGAATGGTCAAAGGTTATTGTAATGAATACAAATTTTGTCTAAGTTACAGCCTTAGGAGGCTGGTGGAAAATTATTTGTTTATAGTGAGAGAGACTGCTTGAGCGGAGGAAGGGATGGTAACTGTGTCTGTCTTTCTGTTATCGGCCTGCTAGAGCAAGCTGAAGAAAATAATGATAGGGAACCAAAACAACCCAGCTGACCTCGTTAAATTCTAATGAATAATGAACAGGCATGCTTTGAAACTGGTTAAGAGACCATGTAAAATTAGGT